CAAAATTTTCTCCAAAAAACAAAAATGTGAAACAAAGAAAAAAATTCATCACACTCAGGGCAGCCATTACTATGACGCAAGACTTGGCACGATATACAGATGTTTAGAGTATTTTTCATATTTGCCGCACCAGCAATAGTTCTGGTAACCGAAGCGAGATTAGGATTTTCTTTTGGGAATATTTCAATTGTGGGCACTTTTGTAGCTAACTTTAAAATTAATTTCCCAGGGAAAGAGAGAGTACCCTGGGAGCGAGGTTGCACTCGTCCCCAGGGTCATCTCCGCTTTCAAGATGGCAGGCGGACGGTTTATAGCGATAGTTTAGTGATAGTCGGGCGCGAAATCTATGTTTCTTGGTGAAAAGTCGACGACCTCCCAGACCAATTGAAAAAAAAAATACTCGCAAAAATGGCTCGCATGACTCGCATGACTCGCATGGCTCGCACCGTGGTTCGCATGGCTCGCTGGCTCGCAGATTTAGCAAACCCCAAAAGATTCGTGAAATTCCGACCACCATAACAAAAGTTCGTGGTAAAATTGAAAAGATATCGTATAATCAGAAACTTCATAATTGTAATTTAGAAAGAACAGACCTCCTACGGGCTCTAAAAGATGAAGTAAATACGTCTTCCATGTTGAATTTGTTTTAGCAGAGCGAACCTTAAAGATTTGACCATGCTTTCCAAACCTGTCATTTTTAGACCGCCTTTCTCATAATCGTTTATTGCTGACACGCGAGTTGCTTTGTCTGTTCCTTTCCATAAGAACTTGAATAACAATTTATTCAGTTTATTCACAATTTCCTTTGGTGTAGGAAGTAACGAACATACATAGACGAACTTTGGGATTTAATTATTGTCACTTTACCATAAATAGACAGGCCCCTAGAGGACCAAATATTAATGAGTTTTTTAATACTATCTGGCCTTTCAATAAAGTTCTTTTCCTTTAATAGTTTCTGATCATATGTGAAATATTCACCTAGAGCTTTAATCGGGGTTTTAGGCCACTTACTACCAAAATGTTCTTCTTTACATTCTTTTAAAGATCCTATCCACATACCTTTTTGAGCAATTGATCTTGAGACCGGAAATTTTTCGAAACCGGTCCGGTAGTTCAGATAAAACCTCGGCTGAGTTAGTATCTACTAATATCGCCGTGGTGTCGTCAGCACATAGTAGAAGTTTCGTTTCTTGCTCTTCTCCGATATAAATAGTCTTTTCCACTGTTGTTGTTAAGGAAACCTCATTAAAAATTCATGTTTTGACGTCATTGTCACGTGTCGCATCAACTAATTTTTATTCTCTCGGCTGAAGGGGATATCCCCTTACCCCTCTATCATCCGTGGAGCGAGCAGGAATTGTTCTAGCCCTCCGGGTGCCATCTTGTTTTTTTACGATGGGTGCCGCCATCTTGAATTTTTAATTCGGCTTCTGATTGGTCCAGATACCTTGATCGAGAGAGGTCGTGGGTCGAGCTGCCAGTGTCCGCCATGTTTTTGATCACATCGGTGCAATCTGGCCTTCTGATTGGTCGAGAGCTGTTTAAAGGGACAAATCCGGCCTTCTGATTTAAAAATTCACTAACGTGTTGTTGCGTGACTTTTAGTGTTAACATGCAAATTTAGGACAGTCCAATCTGATAACGTCAATTAATTTATGCAATAATGAATAAATCCGCCATTTTGTTACCATATTTGGCATCATGACGTCATCTCTTGGTCACATGGTCGAGAGCCTCATTTGCATACGTTAATGAGATGCAAATGTATTCGGTCCTGTATGAGCGTCCTTTACTACCTCGAAAGTTATGCAAATCCTCCACTGCGTCTGGAGTTTGCACAACTGTCTCGAATTCTCAGAGCCCCCTCGTGTTTAGATGAGGCTATGTAATCACGTAAAAAGTGTCCTATTGCTTAAATCGTGAAAACGATGGCGTGCCTTCTTTGGCTGAGAGGTTAAAACCAATCGGCCATTCAAAAGAAGCTTCGGTTCGGGAGGTTTTGCAGGCATAAATCATTTAGATCTCCTCACGTACGTCCCAGCTAGGATCTGAGCTACCAGTTTACCGGGAACTGGGCAGCAATACGGTCGGATTGAGAACTTGGAATTTTTATTGTAAGTAAGACAGCTACTGAGGCTATCAAGATTTATACTGGAAATAAAGCGTCAACTGTGCAGTAAGGAATTTCCGTTAGCCACACGTGTAAGATCAAATCGTGCTAAATATGAATTTTTATTTTGCTGCGAGCCATATTCATCCATCTAACTGTAATTTTTTCGAGTGTTTTTCCTGCTTTTATCCTTACGTTTGCTTCTTTCAAGCTAGTTCAGGTTTTAATCATTTTGCAGCAGAATTCTCAACAAAGATTAACTATTCACCACGACAAAAGAATCTTGTCGAAACAGGTTTGTAATGATTTATACTGTTTTGGTAGGGAAAATAATAACTGGTCACACAAACCGCCGATATCCATGTGACTCGCGCGGTTGTAAGGTTTTTCCAAGCTTGTTGTAATTTATGGAAGCCTGAACGGCACCAACAAATGTTTCATAAAATGTCAGAAATTTATTCCGATGTGGATTGGATTTGGTATAAAATAGTGTTCAAAATTTTGTGATACATTTATGTCAAGGGTTGTTAATACCATACCGAGTGGGCAGCCGAAATTAAGGAGGGCTGAGTGGGGAGTGGAGCTTGTAATGGGAAATTTAATGGTGGTCTATTACTCATAAATATTGAATTTAATTCTTGATTAAGTAATTGTGAGGGGTAACCTGTACTACCCGGCCCTTCCATGCTAAGTCCCTATTAATATTAGTCTTTCACCCCAGGCCCCTGGAGACCCCGCCTCTCAGGGACTAGGGCGAGAAGGCGTCTGACATCTCATATTACTGATCAATGAAAACAGTTCACTCTGCTTTTTAAACACTTTATTACCCTGCATCCTTTACAGTTATTGCTCCTTACATTTTCGATCTACTAAACTACAACTGAAAAACGTTTTACAAGCTCAGGGTAAAACTCGAAAAGAAATCTTCAGTTCAGTCATTTTCGGCCATATCTATATCCATATCCATTTCCAACACCGACATTGCCCGAGTTGCAGTTGGTTCCCTGTTGGCCAACTTTTGTACCGATGTGGCCAAATAGCCTGTATTGGCGGCGGCCATATCCTACATGGACATGGCCCAAGTTGGTTCCTTGTTGGCCAACTTCTCCAGCGCTGTCGCCAAGTGTCATGGAATGTGGGTCGTTAAGCTGCGTATCTGTAAAAAGGGCATGTTACAAGTGAAATAAACCCAAGGTGTTTCCTTGAATATCGATAAGTTCTCTTAAGGGCAAAAGAATATACATCGAGTTACGCTAATCGTACGCGTGTAGGCATGCAAAAACCTTATTTCGAAATTTGTTAGCGACAAAATTAGCACTTTTAGTGTAAATACACCTCAGCTTACGTTTCTTTGAGCCTCGACGTACTAGTAGAAAGAAACAGTTATCAATGGTTCCTAATATGCATTGTTACTAACAGACAAAGTTTATGTCACCAAAAAGAAGCCTTAGGTAACAAATGCATAAACAAACACCGAAGCAAACCAAAAGAACTGATTCAAAATAGCTCCAAACGACTTTTGATCGTAAGAGTCAAACCCAATCAAAACATCAGACCAATCAAAAAAAAAACTTTAAAACGGGGTTATTTTTAACCTAAAATTTTAACTCTACTTTCGGAGTTAAAATAACTCTTTGAAAATTACTGTGCACGAGAGAAAACAACGAACCAATCAAAATGCGAAACGAACCCACTACAGGAACCCAAGAACAAAGCAAACAAACGTTTTTGTTTCAGTTTTGAAATTCCAATGAAAAACGCTATTAAAGATAGACTGAGAGTCTCGATCAAGTTTTTTATTTTTTTTATTTTTTTTATTTTTTATTGCTAAACACATAATTACTTACATTGCTTTACTCTACTCACAACAATAACTAACCTACTCACAATGCACTACATTATTGTTATCATCATCATCATCATCATCATCATCATTATTATTATTATTATTTCTAATGCTTTTACTGTCTTACAAACGTCACTTACAATACATTAAAAAAAACACCTATTTACAATACTTGGCATTACGTTACTTACTTACAATACGCATTAATTACTTATTATGACTTACACATTACGTTACTTAAGGAGTTACAATACAATGTAATTACTTAATTATAGAAAAAA